TAAAAAATCTGGTCCGAAAAAGCCCGGGTATTTTATTCATCTCGCATGAACGATGGCCCCATAATCGAACGGACGGTTGGCGGTAAAATTGCATTAGGCCGAATCAGAGTTTGAGTGGTTTTTGCTAATTTGTGGACTTGATTAGCTTCGGATTTTTGATCGGTTTGTGCCGTACGAAATGTTAACGATTTTAAACGGAAAAAAATAGATCTGTCCTTCCGTGCGATCGACAGCCGCCGCCCATATTAACAAATTTATTTTTCACCTTGGGCGAATTCGTTAAATTTGCCTGTATTTTTAAAAGGTATATCAAGTTCGATACACTCGCTTTGTCCCTACGATGAACGTAAATGCATTTATCACATAAATTGTAACCTGCAAAAGTATATTACTTTTATTCGTTTATTTACTTATTTGCCAGTGATAAAAAAAAAACAAATTTAGAAATAGAAATATATAAACAGGTTCTGGAGAAGTCAGGACAGTCCAGAAATTTCAGACAAAGATCAAATGGGGACCTTGAATATTTTTTTCTATTTCTTCAATAGATTTGTTTATGTATAGAAATAACGCATATTAAATATTAAAACTCAAAACCCAATATTTAATTTGCAATAATGAATTGAAATTGTGACACTCGACTATTCTTTTTAAACGTTACTAAACGCGCGTAAATGATCGTGACGTCATACCGCTGCTTTTCGATCGATATTGCGACACGATTATTCTCAGGTTATAGCCCGAGAATTATATTATTTACCTTTATTGATGGCTCGTGTAAATATGTGTTTGTATTTAATTTACGCCAGTTTGTTTTGTGTTTAGTGTGCTTTACATGATCATAATGGAAGCAACACATAAACAATACTATATAGAGTATGAATATAAGCCGTAAAACTATAGATAAACTTTTTATTCGCCTACCAGGAAATAAAAGCCTAATATATATAATAATAAAATAAAGAATTCTTTAAATTATCAATGGCAATATCTTTTTGATAGCAAACACGAGATAACAAAAGCAAAGGACAGGATCAAGACTAAAATTAAAATTATAACCACCTGCTGGCTGGCGCGTAGTCTAACTAGCGCATTGACGTCACAACCGGCCACAGCCAATGACAGCCCGTTTCAAAGAGGATTTAAATTTTACCATTTTTAATTGGTCATATTTGTTACATAGAAGTAAGAAATATTTTTTTTGTGAAATGTGCTTCTTTTAATATATTGCCCAATTATGTGCAATATATTTTTCCTGTTTCTGTTTTCTTTTTAATGTTCTTTTGCAGATGGGTAAAATATTCGATGACTAAGATATATTAAATTAACAACCTGATTTTGTGGAAGTAATTTTGGATAAAAATACGCATAATTTGCTAAAGCAACATGTTGATTTTCATTATCTTTCTTAATAGTTGATATAGTGGAATAGAGCTGTTAATCCAGACAATATCGATTTTGCGAGGCAAATTTTAATTAGAGGGGGATGGATAGTCTCTAGGATATCATGCTATATCCATAAAACAATATATTACGACATGCGCTAAATAGGCATTTTTATTTCGTGGCATGAACAATATTAAAATTATTAAATTAATATTATTATTATTAATAATATTAATATTATATATTAATATTATTATTAATAAATAATTATAAAATTAATATTAAAAAACAATATTAAAATTATATTTTCGTGCTTGTTTATCTCTTGTCATTATCAAAATAATAATAACATTCTCACTTATTAACGTAATAAGTAGAAACTTATCACTCATTCCTTTAATGCTTCGACGTATCCGCCACCCTTTAGTTCAATGCCTACTGAAATTGTTCTTTCGAAATCGCCAACAGCACGATTTCTATTCTACTAATTAATAAGACTAAGTTGGATAATATTCTAACTCGTTTTGACAGTTACTATCAAATGTCAACAGCTGTCAACAAACATTCATTAGTTTGTAAGCTCATCCTAGATTATACGTAACTGCAATAAAATTTATTATTATAATTATAAAACGAATAACTTCTTTTTCTTTTTAGTTCTGATTAACTGTATTTAATGACATTTTTCTATATTTAAATTGAAAGGTACTTCCACATTTGAGTAAAAATCATATTTTTTGACAAACCTCGTATACTTACTGTATTTTAGACTTATATTTAGAACATTCAGCACTTTTAATGAATAATAAGTTTTTTGTATAATATGTAGATGAGGTTGCAGTATGAAAAATATATGTACAATTGTCACAGACAAGTCAACAGCTTTATTACACTTAATTTCTTATAATATGTATCACTTAATTATTTTATAATATTTTTGTGGATTCTTGGGAACTGTTGATTTAATCTTCAGAAATGAACAAACGACATACGAATAACTAAACGCTTTCTGTATAAATCCACGTATTGTTTTCTTTCTGCTCTTCCCGAAACGAATTCACTTGCGAGAGTTGTCGTTTTTGCCTTCTCCGCTTTGCTTTTTAATTTAACCGGAACTTAATTGTTCTACGGAAACATGATGTATCAGTTTAAATTAAAATACGTCCCTTAATCAGGACGAAGCACCGGAATTAGGACGTCTAATTTACGTGTTAAGGAAAACATAAGCCGGTCTTCCATTTAGAGAAACTTTAATTTAGATCCTTAATTAGTTTTGAAAGTTTGCCATTGTTTGCGTAAACTATGCGATTAAAGAGTGCACGTGTCGACAGCATGGAAATATATATGGTGTGACATGGAGCGTTTTATTAGGCAAAATTTCAAACTTATCACCGTTGTTGTCCACAAATTGTATTAAAATTATTCTTAAGTATAACTTTAAGAATTATTTTGTATGTACATATTATTTTACTTTAGTACTTATTTAGGTAAAATTTAGAACTAAATTAAGATAAGTCGTCAGATAGTATTTCAACCCTACAAATTCTATTCTTTTATTTTATTCCAAACACCCTATATACATATATTTGAAATCTGCCTTAGGTTGGTAACGAGTTTTGTTGATAGTGATATATATGACTCTATTTTATATCGTTTTTGATTTATTCACACTCGAAAAGTAATATTTTCGTCTTTTTAAATTTAAATTTTTATTTTAAATTTAAATTTTTAAAATCTAATCTATTCAACTTATGCCCAAATAGCTTCCACATTCCAAGATCTTAGCTTTTGACAATCTATCTTGCGTTGCCATCTACAAGTTTAATAATTCAATGTAAAAAATCAAAAAATTCACATGCGAATATAATTAAACTAAAATGGGAAAGAAAAAGTGGATAAATAACTTTTCAAGTATTCCAATATTTACGAAACCAAAAATGTTGACAGCTGTTTGTTAACAACATGGTTTTATCAAATACTTTTTTCTTAAACATGTAGTTATGGCTGTAGGTGAGTGGCGAAATATAAATGATATCGCTGCACATGATACATATGTATATACCCTGTATATAGAGTAACAAAAATGTATTAAACATTTATGCCAGTTTCACCGTATGGTTCTCTTTTTTGTGAAAATAGAAGTAAGTTATATAAAATATTCTTAAAATTTAAGTTACTTTATTTTACTTTTAACTAACGGTATCTCACTTGTCTTTAAATATACAGTTTCCGCAATAGTAGAGCTGTTTATTTTTTTTGTTTGTTTATGGGAAACGTAATGATTTTTTACGAAAAATTCAGTATTTACTATAAGTTGTCATATACATTTTTTTCAATGAAACACCCCCCTATCATAGTTTATTTTGATTGGGAGCGCCACATAATATGGGAAAGTATTGAATTAATTAATCATTCAATTTATCATTTTTGTTGTATTATTTGATTTGTAATGTTATCGACAAAACTTTTTTGGAATGCTAAAAACATATTTAATTTGCATATTAAATATTAATAAAACATATTAAATAAAAATGCTTCATTCAATTCAATTCAATTTTTCAAACTCATTTTATTGGATGTTAAGTAATTTAAGTATAGTTCATTTAAATAATTTGTTAATAGTTAGGTTGGAAAATAAGAAATCAAGGGTTCAAGAGGTGGACTGCGAGATGTTCTTGAAAAATCAAATTTTTTGATTTTAACGTCTAAGATTACATCACATTTACTTTTCAAGTTGTTTCAAAGGTTTGTGGGTTTGTAAATGTAAAATGGGTTTCTCCATTAGGATCGTTAATAATTAACGTAAAGTATAATTATATATAGTATACCATTTAAATTTTCGATGTTAGTACCACCGCCTATAATTTTTTATACACAATTCAATGCTTTAAACGGTCGCTATGGATCTATGAGTTTCTGATTATTTTCCTTTTTTTGTGTTTGTTTTTTATATTTTTATTTAGCTTCATATAATGGACATAATTTTAAGTAATTTAAAATAAGGTCCCTTCAATGGAATCATGTACTACTGGATGTCTTCCTAATTTAATTAATATTGATTTTAATATGCCCGTTAGTTCGGCGTTAAAGTCGACGCTCAACAACGGACAGGTCTAGGGTTCGATCCTCGGTAACGAAAAAAAAGATGTAGAAGTATTCTCCATATCTAACACATAATTAGCCATTGCTCTTAATATGCCCATTAGCTCGACGTTAAAATCGTCGTCGAACAAAGGACGAATCCTGGGTTCGATACTCGGTAGCGAAAAAAAAGGTGAGTCATCACGGTCTTTTGAGGTTATGTTCGTCCGAACTTTCTACAATGGGCACCGGGGTCGGAGCACAGCCTAGAAGGATCGGCCCCCCCGCGGTGGGCGAATGGGGCGATTGTGTTTTGAGGTTATGTTCGTCTGAATATTATCCCAAAGTCGTTGATTATCACGCACTTTTCCCTTCAGTGGGCACCTTCTTCGTAGTCCCTACGTCCACCAGGCCGTATCTCGATGCACGATGGTATATAGACTTCGACGCTCTTCCGTTCGCCGCGGGGATCGATGCCGTTGCACGACCCGACGCCCATCGTCGTCGTCAGTGGCGCGATAGACGCCGTTGGAGTCACTCTGTTTGGGGAGGCGCGAACCCTCAACCCTTCAGCGTCTACGAAGAGTTCGTGCATATATTCGCGAGATACTTTCGATAAGTTGTGTTGTGTTTGGAGAGTTGTTTCCGATCTTGGTGGAGTTGTATTGGATTTTCCTATCGCAAATGACGAATATCTGAGGTCGTTGAGGATATGATATAAGTAAGTTTAGTTGTAGTTATACCAGGTATTTTTTAAAAAGTCGCTTGTCGCCTATCGGTTTTACAAAATCAAGGAATCTGAGGAGTTCAATAAATGAGACATTACTATTACTGCATATAATAGAAGAAGTGAATTAAAGAAAATAGCTAATTAAAACTTAGAAAAGCTCTGCTGTTTTGGATCAAAGTTCTCTAAAATGTTTGAGGAATCTCTCTTCTCCCATTCACAATTATTCCACTGGTGAATGTATGAAATTATCTGGATATCCACCATTGACTAATTTATAGCTAATAGAAGAAATTAGGATGTCTATAAAATAAGGGAATGAATAAAAATTAAATGAAATTGTATGGATGTAATTTGCAAATTTGATTTAACGTTTATAATTCACGAAATCATAAAGATAATGTGGAAAACAAAAATACAAATTTTGTCCAAAATGTCCAACAAAAGATTTTTTTTGCATTTTTCTATTTGCGAAGGTAAACTTTGGCTTCAAATAAAATATGCGTATTTTTCATTTTTTCACGTCGACCGAAATGCGGACTAATCGAAATAATCTATCAATATTTTTTTTACCCTTTTTTGCACGCGCTATTTACAGAATAAATGAAAATTCAGCACTTCGCCGCGATATCTCGATGATTGGCATTTTCCCCTTATTTACTCAGCATATTATCTCCTGCTGCAATAATTTTGCACTGAAAATGCATACGAAACGAAGCTTTTTATGCATGCGTGCAAGCGATTTTTGCTCCAAAGGTTAGTTGATTTTGCGTTTGTTTATCTTCAAATATTTAATACTGTTTCATCATCGGTAGCTGTATTTTCGCTAGTTACTGTTAAGTCCGTGCAAGTCCAAAATTATAGCGTGGTTTTTTAATTTTCAAACCAAACCAATCAATCAAACCAAAATACTTTCATTCCACTTTTTAGATTGAGGAAAAAGTTCTTTTTCAATGTATCCACCATGCGAAACTTTTACAACACCAAGAATCAAAAAAACAAACCCTTTGTTCGTAAATGAAAACAAATTATTTTTTTTAGTCACGAAAGACAAAGTAGTGTTGAGGTGTTTGAAATGCTTGAAGGTGTCATTAGTTTTGCTTCGCCAATGCGCTGTTTCATAATTTCTATTATGATATAAATTGATTTACTCAACTCACAAAGTAAGAAATTAATTAGGTGTGAGTAGCGTCAAGCAAAAAGCTCGGTTTACCCTTCCTCCGAGGAAAGGCACTATTATTCGCGCGCCAGCGCTGTTGGCAAGTTATCTGACGGTATTATAGTTTTTCGGGTTTGCTTATCATAAAGGTGTCGGAGACGTCGGTTCGTATTCGGCTGCGGAAGTTTGAGACGTTTTTAACACGTCTAATGGTCCCAGAGTTTTGATGGCCCTGCATTATTTATATCTAAAGCTCGAGAATGGGAAACTTTCCTAGTGAAACTTCGAAGAGAAGTGTACTAAACTATCATCGACAAAGGCGTTGTAAAGGGTTTTTTAAAGACGATGCCGCCAACAGAAGTTCGATATTATGATGCTATTATTGGGGTTCTTTTGTTTAGGTTACATTAAATCTGAAATATCATTTAATTTATCATCCATTTGGAAATCTGGTTATTAAGGTGGCCGCTGTGGATAAACATCTAGGTCAGGGAAGTATGGGAAGGTTACTTCATAGAGTCACATTTTTCCAAGAATAGCATTATTATCATTATTCAAGAGTTCTTCTATATAATTTGTGTCAAATTCAAACCCAGAATGCATAAAACATGTTTTTTTATTCTGAAAGGAACACTTAATTCAAAAGGGCAAAATTTTACATTTCTTTCTCGTTACCAGTTGTTCTCTGTTTTCAATACTTTGTTTTCAGTGATTATTTTATTTTTTTAAATTTTCTACTGCTTTAAATGGGGGCACAAACTTAAACCAAAACTAAACTTTCACACACAAACACAGTCATACATAACAGCTCAAATCACCCTTATACACACATTTCACTCTTTTATACACATACTTCTTAATACGCCATTCTCAACAGAAATTTACAACAAAGAACTTAATATCATTGAACAAATTGCACTGAACAACGGCTACAATCCCTCAATTATTGATAAAATTATAAATAAAAAACAAGTCCGGACAACAGTAAACTCTATTTATCTGAAACATAATACAGAACACGAACAATTTTAAACAAATACGTACATAGGAGAACTCAGGGAAAAAGTTTCAAAACATTTGTCAAAATGTGGTTTAAAAATAGCTTTCAGAACTAACAACACTATAGGAAATTTTTTAAAAAGCAATAAAAAGAAATTTCCAAAATCTCAAAAATCAGGTGTCTACAGGTTGAAATGTTGATTCTGTCTTAAAATTTGTATTTGACAAACAGGTAGATCCTTCTAAAGACGCATTAACGAACATAAAAGAGCGTTTAAAAACAATAGTCCAGATTTTAATTATGATATTGATTTTAATATTTTACGTACAGCCGCAAAAAGTACAAAATTAAATTTATTGGAAGCCATGGAGATTAAGAAAATGAGACATTCAAATGTATTGCTTAACGATCAATTGGATTTAAATACATACCTCTTCTTTATTGAACTTAAATTCTCACAACAACATTAATTAAGGTTTTCTTGTCATTTTTATATAGTAGCAGGTAGTTTGTAAATATTACATTTGATAAAGACACGGTGTTGTCGAAACAATTATCTTGTGAAAATATATAATTTCCTGAAAATCTGAACCTTTAGTTCTTATTTATTTTATTAAATGGATTTTCATCAAGTAAAAGCCACCTCAGTTCAATTAATGAATGTATCCTTGTTATTTTGCGAAAATGTACCCAAAAACTAACGGTCGTAGAAAAAGTATAGTATGCAACACGTTCGATAAACTTTTTAAGTCACTCGTTTATTAAGCACTCGCTCCGCTCGTGTCAAATAAACTCGTGAGTCAAATGCCCTTTACCGCACTTGTTGCACAATATACTGTAGTTCATTGGATTTAATAATGAAAAGAACACCTACCGTACTCCAGAGGGTAAGGTCTGAATAAATAATTAAAAACATATCAATCAAATACTTGCGCCTCCAAGATTTCACATAAGAAAAGAGTTCCGCAAGTTATTCCGTGTGCCTATCGTAATAGATCTCGCGGTTTCAATTCGCCCGCGAATTATTTATCAATTCTCGAACAAAATTGGAAATCTCCTGCTCGCGAAAAAACGAGACGAACGTTTTTCGGCGATTGATGTGTTCGCGTATGAGCGTGTGTGTGTGTATCGCCCGGAATTGAACGGGAGAGACGGGTCTCAATTCCCAAATCTAATTCCGAGACCGTTATACGAGAAATATGACCGCGTATATGCATGCGACCGTCACGGTACGACGTCTTTAAAGCGAGATGTAAATCTCGAGAACGATTCCGGGGGTATAAATGAAATAAAACCACGCGGTGTGTTTGTACGGACGATGCACCACGCCCGGGGGCGACGATTAAGCGTAATCGCGAAAATGATTTTCCGCCGGCAAATCGAATAACCTTTTTTTAACACTTATTTCACCAAATAATAAATACATGTAAAAAATATATCAAATGCACATTGAATTTGAAAAATTTGTGCTTGCATTTGTTCAGTCGAACGCAACTTACCTTACTAATTATGACTAAGTTCATATTAATATTCGATTTGAATACTTAAATAAAAATTATTAAATTACATTGTTATTAAATTTATTACCACTTAATTTTATTCACATTTGTACTATTTACAAAACTTGTGTATTATTTCTGCGTGGGTTGTTGCCGAGTCGAACTTGCTAATCATCGTGTTGGCTGACTTCTCAGCTTTACTGTACCTGCTTATATATTGATTGAGGGGGGCGGAGCTAAATGAGGGGCATAAACATAATATCGCTTATAGATTTCTATCAGCTCTCTGATTGGCAGAAGAATTGAGTGTATGCAAGAATTTTAGTTTTATCGAATAAAATTTTATGTCCGGTTTCATGATTGTGTTCAGCAACTGCTGATGAGTTTATTTGTATTAGTCTTAAAGCTCTTTCTTATTTTTTGAGCCTAGTTGATATTTTTCGTCCGGTCTTTCCAATGTAATCTTTGCCGCCTATGCGTGGAATCCTGTAAACTCCTGGCATCTCAAATAGAATTTGATCTTTGAAGGATCGAATGCATTGAGAGCTTTTTGGACTAGTTTTGTCGTTTAGAACTTTTGATATGCGATCAATAAAGTTTTGAATGTAAGGAAAGACAACAGTGGCAAGTGTGGGATTGCTTTCGGGCTCATTGTTATTGGAAGGTTGTGGTGAAGTGTGTTTTGTGATGGAACGCTTAATATCTTTAATATGGCAATTATTAAGAGAAGAACAGAGGTAAAGTCTTTTAATTCTGGGTTCAGTGACTCGGGCTGAGATAGTTTTACAGCTATATAAATAAGAGAGTTGATAACCGATGATTTTGATTTGATTTCCTGTTGATAAGAATATCTAAGGTTGGGAGGTTATTATAAGTTTCTAATTCAATGGCAAAACGTATGTTAGGGTGTATAGAGTTTAATTGTCTAAGAAAATCTACTAGGGATAATTTTGGTTTTAGATGGAAGGTGTTGATGGAGAACCCATAGCCGTTCCCGACGTATGTTCAAAAATTTGACCGTTGTAAGAAAAATATTTTCCAGAAAACATTTTTCAATTAAGATCAGAAGGTTTGGTTCCAGATTCTCAGATTTTATTACATCTGAAATGATGTTGAGAGTTTCAGGAATAGGAACTTTAGTCGAAACTTACCAGAATATCTTGTGTATCTAATGTAATGCTTTTTATTTGTTCAATATCCTGGTTCGTGGAGTCCGTAGAGACGATAAATTTTGAGGTGCCGACACGTTTTCACGTATTCTTATCGAGAAGAAGCTTTAATAACTTAAGGTTACGTTTCATAGATGACGTAGGATCTTTTTTAAGTTGACCATGTG